ATTCCCTTTTTCCTAAAATTTGAAAACGATTTTTTCTAAAATGAAATGAGTATATAATATAATAATAACCTACTAAATTAATATAATTTATGTGTGAATCACAAATGAAATTATTTGATTAGGGAATATATGCACATGACTTTAAGTATGAACTTAAAAAATGTCAAATTATTTACTCATAAAAAGCTTCATAAGTTTTGCATAAAAATATGTAGCGAATGTTTCATGTCTCTCATTTGCCATTGACAAGGTAACAATTTAAGCATAAAACTTCATAAAATGCTGCCAACTCAAGCTGTGAGGTTTACTCCTTCTTCGTTACTATAATTTGAAATTTTACAATTTTCTCAAGTGTTGTAAAAAGTTAAAAAAAAAAAAATAAAATAAACTTTTTTCCTTGCCATGTCTCTCTTAACATATCCTTTTGACCCGCTTCACATAATTTGCACTGTTATATGCCTTTTGTTTTACATTTTCTCTTGTCCCTTTTGTAAAAAGGCAAAATTTTTTTATAAAAACAGACAATGTCCTTCACAAAACTGAAGGCAAATGATAAATAGCACTTTTATGTAAAATAAGAAAAAAAAATTTTTTTTTCTCTTAGGTTTGCCCTACGTTTATTCAACTGTTATAAAAATTCAAATATATTCTAATGCGGGTAATTAAGCCAAAACAGCAGAAAATGAAAATAGAAAAATGTTACAAAGATGATGACGGTTCATATTCTTTAATAAAAAAAAAAAAAGAAAAAAAATATTTTTCTTCTTATAATGTCAAAAAAGTAGAAAAAATATTTTGTTTTTTCTTATACAGTTTCTTCTTACCGTAATGTCAAATTTTACTTAAAAGTTACTTGAGCGCATTGTTAAATGCTGCGTTAATTCATGAATATTTAAAAGTATAAAATATAAGGGACAGAGTAAAACCTAAATTACATATAAATGTCAATTATATTAAAATTAGCATTTCTCTTTAGAATTCTGTTTCTTTTGAAATTTCCTTTATTTTCCCCCATATTGCCCCATATAAACGAAATTGTCTGCTTATGTTGCTAAGCGGATAAATGAATTTGTTAGAATTAGTAAATTTGATTGGAAAATAAGGCATGTATAAAATATTTTATAAGCTTTAAGGATTTAATGTTGAACTTATTTTATTATTTCAAAAATATTTGTTTTTTGTATATATTTTTATATATGAAAGTTATTTATCTATGAATTTAATACTTTTATTTATTTCGTTTGTTATTCCAACAGTTAAGTTTTTGTAGTTTTTGTATTTTAGCCAAGTATAAGAGTTTATATATATATATAGTGAAAATATATTTATTTATGTACGTATTAATGTCTTGTAGAAAATATATTTTGAAGTTTATTCTTGTTAAAGCAACCACAAAATTGAATTTGTTGCCAAAGTTATTTGGAAAAGTCATGCCACAAACTTATTTGTTGATTTAAAGCACAGACAAAACATTATTTTATCATTTAAGAGCATAGGAAAATGTAAGGAAATATACACAGTCAAATATAGCATAAAAATACATTGACCTCTCGGTAGCTTTAGAATTTGAAACAATGCTAAAAAAATATTTTATTTTTTGTCAAAGTAAAGATATAAAGAAACAATGCCAAAAAATTATATATATATGTGGTATGAAGTTTTGCTGCAAGGATCAGAAATGTCAAATAGCAATTTTATAACTCAGTTCAAAAGTCAAGTAGTTTTTAAAAAAAAAAAATCATTAAAAAGTTTTAATTTTAAATTTTTCAACATTTCTTTAATTGTTACAATTTCTTTAATATTTTTAGTTTTAAAATTGCTTTGTGATTTGATATCAATAAGTTTTAACTATGAGGTCATATTTACGAAAAAATTGTATATTTTTCTAAAGCTTCATTATTAAGGGACATTGTTTTTCCTGTGAAACTCGTAAACTATGTTGAAATCGTCAACATATTTTTCTCATCTTAAAGTCTTTTTTCATAATATTTATTATTTTTTCTATTTCTGTTTATTTTATAATAATCATTTCATAACAACATCGATACAAATTTTAGAATTTTTCTATATTGTTTTTTTTTCTTTAGAATATCAAAGATTTAGACCTTCGGGTGAATCAAAATTGAGCAACATAATTTATCAATATTGTCATATTTCTTCCGGCTCTGTTTCTATTTTATATTTGGCAGACAGCCTTAATATTTGTAATGATTGTCTTTTTTGTTTCCGTTTTCATTTGAACTTTAGGCTTCTCTATTTTGGGATATATGTTTTCGTTTATAATTGTTTTTCCTATAAAAATGTCTGTTAAATTTATAATAATAAATAAACCTTAACTCAAAATATTAAATTTATGAGAATTTATGATTATATCATTATTAAAAAAATAAAAATTAAGAGCCTATTATTACATATTTAACTATTTTTAAAATAATTTTGTATTCAAAACAGATTTAATTTAATTTTCTAATCATATTATACTGCATTTTAATTCGAGTTAAAAAAATTTGAAACGCTTTATTTAAATATTACTAAATTTTTTTTTAATAATTTTTTTTAATAATTTTATAATAATACTTATTACTGTATTTTTATATTTCACTTGTATATGTCAGTTACATTGTCTACATTTATTCACTTCTTTTTATGTAAACAAAATTGTTCCATAAACTCAATAAGCAAGAATAATTATGTACTTATGTAAAAATCATTTAAATCAACGAGTTCATTAATTATATTTAATGCTATATAAAATTTATACAAAGCTGTCAAAAAGTTGCTTCACATTATGAAAAGCGACCGACCGACTCATGTGTTCATGTCTAGTTACCGTTGAAATACAGAGTTGTAATCGGAAATAAGAAGAAGCAGAAGCAAAGTTGCGGCGTTTGTCAAACACATAAAACATTTCCCAAAACGATTACAAGAATTTTAATAAAATTGAATTTAAAACATTAGTCTATATATACTTATATATATATCTATATATATATATATGTCTATATGTATAAATGTAAAAAAGTGTGCAAATAAATGTAAAGTAAAATATTTAAACGTATAAACATAAAATAGATTTGCCACAGAACAGCTTTTAACAAATGCAGCTGCCACATAATGCAGCAACTTAATACTTTTATTTAACACTTTATGGTTCATAAAGGGCCGTTATATGGTATATACGTTTGCATAGGTATGAGTTTGCATTTAACAAAATAGCTGAGCTATACGGTTCCTTTTCCCTTTACTTGCAGCAATGCAATATGTCGTGCATATTTTCTTGGTTAAAAAATATCATGTGTATTTGTAGCAAAAAAAGTGTTAGTTAC